ACAGCTAGTAAATAACTAGCTCATATATTTTTTTCTAAATCTCAATTTCGTTATTGTATATTGTGTAAGCCATCTCAAGCTTATCGAAACCGAGTGCCTTACATTGATAGCAGTTTATACCAACTGTTCCTGCGAACAGGATCATAAGTATACCACAATTAACTTAATATCCATCTCATTGCCTATAGCGGCTAGTAAGCCGTAACAGTTTGTTTATAGCGGCTAGTAAGCCGTAACAGTTTGTACCAACTGTCCATAGAATTGTGATCGTAATTCGTTTACAATTTTAAACAAATCGTGTTGGGGACCAACAAAAAAAAAAAAAAAAAAAAGCTGGAAGAGACACCAAACCTTAGTTTGCTTGTTTTGTTAGTGCACCGTTAGTGCAATTTATTTATTTACATTGATAGTAGTTGTTGCAGTCATCGCCATAAAATTATGAAGTCACAGCAGAGAAGTAGGTTGAAGAGATAATTGTTTAGTGTAGAAGTTGAAAAGTTATTATGAGATATCGTACGGGTAAGTTGTGATAATATATACGGCCGTATAATTGGGTAAAGATGGGAATGATGAGAGGAGATGTATGAATATGATAAAGTTGAGAAGATTACGGGATATTATGAGATGTTGAAATGTGAGACAATTATATTATGGGGAGATGTATTAAACTGCAGTATAAATTATTAGCCGGCTAAGGGATACGGGGTTCAGAAGATGTTGTGAAGTATTGGGAGGAGGTGCTATAATGGTTGTTGACAAGGTGTTAGTTTTAATTAGTAGATGGGCTTCTTATCTGTTATTTGAGTGTTGTGATACCACCAAAAGCGCGCTTGGTGATTAGAAACACTTCGGATTCAGTACGACCCTTCGAACTTTGAAACTAAGATTGGCAACATGATTTAGCGTAATAGGGTATGCGGACGTGAAGAAAAGAAGATATTTGAAGTATGATGATACAGAGGGAGATTTGATAAAGGGTTTGTTGTTTAAAAATAAAGATGATTTAGCGTAATAGGGTATGCGGACGTGAAGAAAAGAAGATATTTGAAGTATGATGATACAGAGGGAGATTTGATAAAGGGTTTGTTGTTTAAAAATAAAGATGATTTAGTGTAATAGGGTATGCGGACGTGAAGAAAAGAAGATATTTGAAGTATGATGATACAGAGGGAGATTTGATAAAGGGTTTGTTGTTTAAAAATAAAGATGATTTAGTGTAATAGGGTATGCGGACGTGAAGAAAAGAAGATATTTGAAGTATGATGATACAGAGGGAGATTTGATAAAGGGTTGTTGTTTAAAAATAAAGATGATTTAGTGTAATAGGGTATGCGGACGTGAAGAAGAGAAGATATTTGAAATGAGATGAGACAGAAATGAGTTGATAAAGAAGTAATGTTGTTAAAGTTGGCATGGTGGAATCATGCTGGGAAATAAGAGATACAAATTTTGTTGAGTTTGGGATAATTTACGTTGTGAAATATGGCTGGTGGCTGCACATTAATTACCGCATAAGGCATTCAGGAAAACTTTTGATTATGAATAAACTGAAATTAATTCGGCCTAAACAATTATCTAGAACTTAAAGAACATCACTTAATAGCTTAATTATAACCGTAACACACATTTATATTCTCTTGCCACATCGTTTGCTACTCTTTTGATGATTTGAATTTTTATTAAACCTTGATTAATAGTTATATTTTGTAAATAATAAGTCGCTAACGTAATTAAACTATTAGTATTAGGATTTTATTTTCCTCTTAGACTTCGAGTATGTGTTATTCGCTGTCTTTGCGTGCCTTAAAACAGTTAACTTCCGTAATGTCGTCTAATCATTGATAATACCCCAGCAAGTTGTTACACCGACTCTTATAAGGCCCGACCTGCTGAGAAAGTTCATTCGCCAGCAGTCTTTTGTTAATTCATAAATCCTGGGACGATACCCCAACATGCTTTACAGTTCAGCGACAGCCAGTCTTCTAAATGCTGATTTTCAATTTGTGATAGCAAACAGTTAGACATGATTCCTATGGCCGATTGTCTAAATCTATGCAACAATTTCACTACCACTTCCAAAAGAGCAGTGTTCTCTTATTTTCAACTAACACAATGTATTGGAAACCTCCGAAATAGTGACGTATACATCTCCTCACCTTCAGGCCTCCTAGTTCGCACACTATCAACAACAATCAAAATAGTATATGACCAGCCAAAACACCAGCTAGACCTTTATGTGTCGGCACTGATGAAAACCGTTGCAACCCCAGAATCCGGCGCTATGTTCATACCCTGGCATAAAAACATATCTGCTGTAACATTTTCGAAGGCCGTGGTATATTCCCCTATAAATGCTAACCACAAAGTTCAGCTAACGGTATCCTCTGATGAAAGAGCCGCTAGGCTCGACCTCTACTCACTCTTTTCAATACCCTCAGAAGGCACTATACGGATTACGCAATTATTGGAAGAGCACCAGCAGCGACTTCAAAATTTAGAAAATGGGGTAAAACCAACGGTTAACTCTGTCAAAGAGTGGGCCACACAAGCCTTTACCCTCCCAACATGGCTTCGAATTATCATTTATGCAGCTTTTGCTATAGGGACATTGACTATTTGTCACTTGTTGTTCAAAACATTCGAAAAATGTTTCTGAAATCCAATCGCCCAGACATCAACCAATATGAACACCTAAACAGGCCGGCCCGTTTAATAGACAATACCCTGTACCCTAGATTGTCGCAGATCGGTGGGTCATCCCAATCGGGACCACCACCCCCAATTGCAAGGTCCCCCTCGGTAGTTAACATAATGTTCCCTCACCCTACCGTGCCTGGCTATCCAACCGCTCCGCTACCACCTACAGAGTAAGTACAGGTAAATATAAAAATTTAAAACAAAATATATAAAAATGATTACAAAACAAAATACAAAGATAAGTTTTATTAATTGTGTAAATCTATATGTTTATTTAATTCAAACAAATACTCAAGCGCAAATCACTCATCAAATCCTTAAAGTAGTTTTAGCAGATGTTTTAATTTTAAAATAAGATTAGATTAAAGCATATTCATTTTAAGTAATGCCATAAATTTTTATTCAAAGTGTTCGGCTCTTGTTATTTAGATGTGAGTAACTTTTCATACTAGAAATATATCTTTAAACACTATTGTGTGAACTGCAATCGAGTTGACTGCAGTTGGGTTGAGTGTAATAGAGATGGCTATGTGTCCATACTCTTTATTACTGTTATTATTATTATATGTTGTTATTTAGATGTTGTAATTTAGATGGGTTTTTAAAAAATAAAAACTAGGCTGCTAGTTAGCTTCAATTTCAAGGTGGAATGCCTGGTGAGCGTGGGACCGCTCAAAAAGAAACCGAATGATGTTATGTCCTGCCTAATTTAGCCACCATAGGTATTAAGTCTAGTCCTAAAAACACAGTATCTTAAAATACTCGGCAATTCCCAGACATTCCATCTTCTATTTCTTGGTTAATTATAGAATCTTGGTTGATTCTATAATTCTCTTGGTTGATTCTATTGTCGTATATTGTCGGATTAAATTATATGTATTTGAATTTGATTCTTACCTAAAGACGTCACCTGACCGTCCTGCAACCCATACTTCCAAACAGATAACCTTTTTACCTTGGAAACCTGAGAATGCCGCAGAGATAACACTAAATGAGCCTGATCCTACAAGAAGATAACCACAGACTGGGGGACGCCGTACTCACACTATATAACGGCTCGTCGCAGCAAGTCAAATGGGGGGATTTTCCGCAGCTCTCGGATATGCTGACGCTTGCTCACACTTCCTAATACCAGAGCTACCCCTACCCCTACCAATCCCTAAATGACTAATACCCTCGGTGACTCCTTCCCCCTAAGGATCCGTGTCTCATATATTTCCTAAAAGGTACGTCTGAGAGCTCGGGATCCCAATATAGATATTTATATGTAAAGTGCGTCGTCATATTTAGGTAGTCATCTTACGTTAGTTATTAAAGTGCGTCGGCACATTTAGGTAGTTATCTTACATCAGTTATTATACGTTATAATGTTATCGTTCCCTCATTTCAGGATTCGTTCCAAACCTACTATCTTCCTGACTTATAAGTCGCCATAGCCTTTAATCCTCATAGTTGGTTGTCACTCAAGCTGCCCGATTATCTCTTCGTCCACCTTCGTCTACCTCGATGTCATGATCCTCCCTACTTCCTACGTATTTGACGCCATCGTTGATTGGACATTTAAATAATTTTACCTGATATTACTACTTTTACGTTTTGTTGATATTGCATTATTATATTAAACTGATTACTACTATTAGTTCCATTTCGTTGCAACACCTATATACTCGTCTTTACTGCATCAACAACCAATTACAAATTAAACATCTAAACCTAAATTGAATCCTTAGAATACTTTCTGCATTTCCGGAGTCGTAGTTCGAACCCCGTCCCGTTAATTAACCTAATACTAGGCCACAACTACACCATTAGAATTAAAGGCATCGGCACTGACTCATGATTAAGGAGCCCTTATAAACTAAATAATAAATTGTAAGTCAGGCCGTGACTGAGACCGTGATTCAATGGAATATTCCTTGCAGCCGGGCCTGAGTACACAACATCTGTACTCAGCCGTTCTACCGCACCGTACAGCCCCATATAGACAATTAAGAAAGCGAACATCTCCATAATTAATATTAATCTTAAGTAACCAGGCACAGTAAACTCCACACCCTAACATAACTGTACATAAACGCATAATTAAAATAAACCCGGTCATAACACTAAACAACAAATACCTACTCGCCCATCGATGAAGCAGTCGCCAAAACAAAGCTCAAAGTTAATATATCTTCGTACTTCGTTTTGGAAACTGTAGAATTCCAATAAATAATTAGTGTTTCAATCGTGTATTCGATGGGCAAGCACTCGCCACTTGAGGCCGAGACAAACGGCACCAACTCCGCCCCGCAACCGTGAAGTAAGGCGGGGCGGTGGTGTGCGCCGTTTATACGGCCCACAGCACGAGACATTTTGAGCTCCAAGACTTAAGACTATAAAAGTCCCGAATTAAACGTAGCGACTTACCATCGTCAGCCGTCAAAAATTTAGAATTTGTATGTTATAAACTCTACACCTGCTATCAGTCTAACATGTAATTTAGTTTGTTATTGGCTAAATTTTCAACTCGATTAAGCGATGCAGACGGATGAACTAGGCTTCTCCTCCGTCAAAAACACAATGAGAGGGGATTGTGGAAGGACACGAACACTATTCGTTAACTCGTACCCCGGGTACCCCCTAGAACTGTGTCCCATCAGTGATCAGAGAGAGCCCATCACCCGTCAGATCGAAAACAGTGTTTTAGTTTTGATATATGCTGTACCAATTACAATAAATGGTAAGTCAAGGCTGACGTTGGTAGCAAAGTATAAAGTGACACGTCACAACAAAATAACCACTACACACTACACACACTATACGCTATAATATATAACTATTGTACACAGTACACAGTATAACTAAAATATGAAATATAAACAAGTTACAAGAGACAAAAGAGTTTACAGAAGAGTTTTACATCGGCTCAGCACCGCCAGGACATTGGCTATACACGTGGGTCAATTAGTTTGATTTGGTATGGTTCGACCGGGAAAGTGGTCGAAATTAGTGCTCTTAATGAGTCATCACTGTCGTCTGAATATTAGAGCGGGAACTTCCCAAGTTTCGGCCGACAACGCGCGCGCGCGCATAGCATCGGCGCGCAATGCTATGCGCGCGCGTTTCAATATTGCTGAGTCATTCGGCGGTTGCGCTCAGCGTAACTTGGAAATGAGTTGTATGTTGTTTACCTAAATTCAAGCATGGTATTCATAGATAAGCTTGTCAGTCAGTAAGTGCTTAAGTGGGAATAACAGGCAAATGAATATCACTTCATAATCAGAATTCAGTGAAATTTCTGTCACACCACTCAGTTCCATACCGGTTTTGAGCTCTTAGAAGTGACTGTTTAAGTAAATTCTTGACAGATCCGCATGTGGAGGTGAAATTTAACGGGCCAACTTTACGGAATTCGTTCCACAGCCATGCAGATTTATAAATAAATTGATTAGTTGGAGAGGGTGTAATGAACAGATTATCTTTCCTATTTGATATGTTGAATAAGTAGTATAACGAAATTGGTACTCGTGACTTAATGATCTTAAAAAGTTCCATTAAACAACGGTATCGGTACAGGTTCTCTGTAACAAGTAATTCATGTTTTGTGAATAGAGGCTTAGTACGTGGACTCTTTAACATAGAATTCAGATCCTAGACGTTGAGAATTAATTGGTCTTGCTCTAGCACATGTCTTGAATTTGTCTACATAAGCTTCATAGTCTCCAAATAGAATCCTGATACACTTCTTTTGAGTAATAAATAGTGGTTTTAACTGATTATTGGGAATACCTCCCCAGACAGAAATAGCATAACCTAGGTGTGATTCAAAGAGAGAATGATATATTTGTTTATATAGTGATTCTGGTAAGCATTTCTTAATACGGTAGATACGTCCACAAGCAATTCTTAGTTTCTTGTTGAGGGATGATATATCAACTCTGATATCCACCAAATTTTTTGGACAGTTGTGAAAGCCCTATTGGAAGGTCGTCGCCAATTTTCAGAAGGATCTCATGCAATGAACTGAAGATATATCCAAATAATACGACAAAAATCAACGAATTTGGTCAAATTTGGTCAAATTACGCGACTTTTACAGCTAATTTTGCTTCAAAAGCCGCGCACCATCAAATATGGCACCTAGGCAAAACTCACTGATCTTTCCAAAAAGGTATGACAAATTTGGTATTGTGAAATTTCTCACAGTCTCTAGAAAACAATGGTACAAAAATTTTAAAAATCCGAGCAAGTTTATTTTTATGGTGCACCCCTTGTATCACGTTGCGACCCCCACGGTCGTTTCACTATGTCGTTACGACGATACAGGGGGAGCCGCGCACTTCGTGCGCGGCGGGTCATACAACGTATGACAATGCACCCCCTAGTTGTATGACCCGCCGCGCACTTGTGCGCGGCTCCCAGTCCCCTGTATCGTCAGGTTGACGGATGTTACTCGTCGAAATTTCTTCGAAGTAACGCGCGCCGCTTTCTTCTCGAAATGTGGCAAGTGCTACGAAGTAGTGCGCGCCAGGCCAAATCATTAACAATGATCAAATGTAACCAATGTTCTAAAATGTTCCAATTTTATCCCAATAACTCATTCACCAGCCTACCTCCGTTCATCAGCACCGTGATTGCAGCGCGATGCATTACCAATTACTGTGCCGCGCCGCGCACTCAATGAGGCTTCTCACAGCGGCGAGATGCGATACTGTGCCGCGATGCGATACTGTGCCGCGCCGAGCTAGCTGAGATGAATTGACATCGTCAATTAAGCACCGTGACTTGCTCTATCCAGAGCCCTTGTGCTTGCAGTAGCGCGCACCCGTTGCCCGTGAAACAAGCGCGCCCGCAGTGGCGCGAAAGCACATGTGACATGGTTAGGCAAACACCGTGTCCATCATGGTCACGGCGCTTGTCATACGTTGTATGACCCGCTGCGCACGAAGTGCTAGGCTCCCCTGTATCGTCAGGACGACCGTGGGTGAAACGACCGGCCGTGGGTGTCACAACGTGATACAATTAACACGGCGCGAGATGCGCGCATTTTAAAATGGTGGGAACACATTTTAATTGCCATTGTACATTGTACTTGTAGTGCATAGTGGAGTGTTGTCGTACGTTGTATTTGTAGGTTTATAACCTACCAGGACGCGCGCCGAGTTGGACTCGTCGACGGTCTAATATATGGAACAGGTATTTTACGAGTCTAGTATCACTCGTTAAACGTTGTATGACCCGCCTCGCACGAGTGCGCGGCTCCCCCTGTAACCTTCCAGGACTGAGGACGCGCGCTGAGTTGGACTCGCTATTTGGAACAATTATTTTACGAGTATCACCTTCACATAGCCATGTGTATACGCGTACTGCGTGACGCGCTTGTTTCACAAGGCGGTCGCGCGCTACTGCAAGCGAGAGGTCTCTGGTTAGAGCAAAATGATATTACCACCCGTTTAGTTCACATACACAGTATGTCATTCACTGATACTCGTAAAATATCTGTTCCAACTCGGCGCGCGTCTTGTCATACTGCATACGAGTGCGCGGCTCTCCTGTACTATCGTAGAAACTCTACTATAGTGAAGCGACAGTGGGGGTCACCACGTGATACAACGCGCGTCCTGCGGTAGGTTATAAATCGAACCTACAAATCTGAACAAGAAAAATTACTTTATATTTTATAACTATCTGTGATCTTGATTCACGATGTCAATCCTTCGCATTTCGCTGATCTGCATACGTGGTTGCGAGAAGATGCGCGACGCAGCCCAGTAGCGCATCGCACTACAATGTACAGCTGTGATCTGGCAGCGCACGCCAATCTTGTATCACGTGGTGACCTCCACTGTCGCTCCACTAGAATTTCTACGATACAGGGGGAGCCGCGCACTCGTGCACTCGGGTCATACAACGTATGACAACGCCAATCCGAGTGCAATGCGTGACGCTCTTTTTTAGCTTCTCGGCTATCATACGTGAGAGAAGCAAGCAATACAGTTACACTAGTAAGCTAGCTAGGTAAATTATCTGATTGTAACTTTTACTATTTACTTGGTTGCTTTAATTTTCAATGTTTATTTTTTTTAAAACCAATTAAACCCTTGCACTCGCAGTACCTCGCAGTACCTCGCATCACGCATAGTTAATTCTATCCAGCATCCAGGGCCCTTGCGCTGGATAGAGCAACCCTCTCGCTTGCAGTAGTAGCGACTGCAGTACGCGTAGACACATGGCTATGCATATGTTGCTATTTTGTATTTGTAGTTGTACTCTTAAAAGTAGCTGAAAATCCGGACACACCCGGACAGGGGGAGGTCTAAAAATCTGCGATTTTGGCGACGTCTTAGGTAATGGTCCCTTGCCTGGTACGCCGATCCCTGTGCGCGGCGCTCTTTTCAGGCTTCCTGAACACGTGAGAGTAGCGAGCAATAGACTAGCAGTTGCAAGTTAAGTGTTTATTGAGGAATTATTATTACTTCGTAGCACTTGCCATTTCGAGAAGAAAGCGGGGCGCTACTTTGAAGAAATTTAGACGAGTAACGTTGTCATACGTTGTATGACCCGCCGCGCACGAAGTGCGCGGCTCCCCCTGTATCGTCGTAACGATACATAGTGAAACGACCGTGGGGGTCGCAACGTGATACAAGAGTAACGTCCATCAACTTTTATTTAGTTATGAGTTATTGTAAAAGTCAAAAGTGAACAAATAAAATCTTCCTTTTTAGCTCGTAAAATTCAAGGCAAGGAATAAGACAACATTTTGCACGACAAGACCGAACTCGGTTAAAAATCATAAAAATAAGAGTTCATGTGAACCGTGTATAAATCTGGGAAAATAAATAAAATAAAATAATATTAAGATATGAGGAATCCCAAATGTGCACGGATATTGTCTCAGTCTCGTCCTCCACGGCCTCCACGGCCACCACCACCACCACCACGGCGATCGCCGCCACCTCGGCCACCACGCCCTCCACGGCTTCCTCTTCCTCCGCGTCCACCGCCTCTACCCCTTCCTCCACGTCCTGAAATGTTGAACAGTTAATCAAAGAAAAGTTTTATAAAACTGAACTCACCCGAATCATTTTAACAATTATCAATTAATGTCAACGTTATGTCAACTGTCAAAACACAGTATCGTAAATTGATGACAACAAAGCCGATTAAGCAGTATTTAGGGTAGGTGAGGGGGAAAGTTCTAAAAAATGACACTTGGTTGCAGTTTAAATACTTCTTCGAATCTGACTTTAACTTGGACTAGGAGAAAGCCGATGGTGGTTGATAAGAAAATGACTTTTAACAGAATATAATGAAACTACATTTAAATCAATAGAATGGGATAATTTTCCGATAGATAATGATTTTCTGCCATAAACACTAATAAGTAATTTTCGTTCGTAGTGAGCTGGCCCGTGCATATAAAGCTCAGTACCTGTCCGACATCTTCTCAGACCAATTCTAAACTCGAATAAGCATCACATACTATCTAATTTGTTCAGGTGTGTATAATCACGTTATGATCAGGTATATATAGGCCCCAAAAATGTGTCAATTCTTTTAACAATCAGGCGGTGCGATTCCAGTAATGCAACTTCAAACAACCTACTGCATATTATTGTGATATTCCTCCATTTCCTTCTATAAATAGAGTCTTTATTTCATATGTCTTTCCAGATAATATGCTTATGTTGGGGGAAAACAAATGATTAGATTTTAAGACGGAGACTGTAAATTTGTGGACTAGAACTCTGCGTGAGCAAGACATTACCACTCGCTATCAATACTCACACATGCAGACAATCAAATTACCACAATTATTATGGCCCCCTCCTGATAAGATTTAAGCCAAGAAACAAGATTTCTCCTCACCCTTTAACACTTCCTGTATGCTATTGTATTACTGTGTTGCATATACTTTTTTCTCGTTGAAATATTTCTATGTATTCGGTAAACAGTCAAACCATTTAAATTACAAATAAAATCAATTTACTTAAATTCAGTTTCGTTTCGTCGGTGCCATACTTTGAAGGTGTAGGATTCTGAGTATATCTGTGTTTTGGCAGGCAGCCATTCTTAATAGTTCATGCAAGATACAATCGAGAGATCATTTTCGTGATTCATTTTGTAATGAAGGAATAGCTTGATGATGAGATTTAGACTTAAATAATAATGCATTTTCCCACGAACTTTTAGAACACGATATTCAAAAACCGTCGCAACATAGGAGATATAAGTAGTAGGTGCTTGCAAATTTTATGTTGACAATTTCTTTTGATTCGCAACCAAAATCAAGTTTTCTTTTACGCTCTACATTTCATTTAACATCCTCCCTTCCCAGGGAAATAGCTGGATGACATGGCGATAAGGAACATTGTTTCAGCTTTGGTAGTGACAATTGTGGCGGCAGCTTTAAAGATTGATGAAAATGCAGTGACTCCAAGTGCACAAACAACAGAGTTGAGTTATAAACATCAACAGCGGGGTCATGATCCACTTGACCACAAGGGCTTGAAAGAAATAAAAGATATCTTCGTCCCAATGAAAAACGAGATAGGATCCATGTTTGAAGAAAAGAAACCAGAAGAAAGACAGAATTTGTACTTGAAGGCATTGTACAAAGCATTGTACAAGGCCAACACACCAGCACGTGATATAGAATGGCTACTTTCTGAAAATCTGATCTTTGAAGAGAAGATGATGAAAAAGTTACAGAAAATGGAGAAACGGATCAACGTACTGATGTCGATGAAGGACACCGAAGGGTTTGGAGTCTCCAAATCAACCTTGGAAAAATTCCTGCGAAAGATTGAAAGTCTCAAAAATATCATAAACGAGTGATTGCACGTGATGCCCATATAAGGAGATAAACGATTGATTGGAAGCATCAGGATCAGGAAAACAAAGCCTTTAACAGTTTATAAATTGTAGAACACCTAAATGATTCAAAAAGTACAGCTGTATTCGATTTGTTTATAGTACGCGTATTTTCCCTCAAAGTGGGGGTGATGCAACGTCAATTAATGTCAATTAATGTCAATTAATGTCAATTAATGTCAATTAATGTCAATGTCAGTTTTGCAAAATTTTGGAATACTGACATTAATCGACACGATATTTTTCGACCAGAGATTATGTAGTTCTACCATACTTTTAGCACTTTAGAACGTTTATATCATCAATTTATTCACTACTATCACATATGGAAATGTGAAATGTGAAAAAAATTCAGATCGTTAAACAATAAAACTAAAATAATACGGTTTTCCTAAATTTAATTTTCTTAAATGGGCGTGGCCATCCAAGGGCGTGGTTCTCAACATCATCAGAACTTAAAACCAACATTAAACGAAATGCCTTCATGACATTTATATTTGAATAACGAATCTTAAACAGCTAACATTACTCCTTCATACTAAAAAAGCCGATTCTAGATATTTTACCTGTATAAAGGTATAAGAAACCAATAAAATATGGGCGTGGCCGGTGGGGACCGAAGATGGAAGAGTTGGAAGCTGAAATTTTTTTGGTGATCTTTGAACCTCAGGATCAACAGATAAGAACATACTCATAATTATTCAAGGACATTTTGTTTTTTTGAACCGGTCTAACTTACATAGACGTGAATATCTTGAATATTTAGATTCGAATAATGATAATCTCAAATTTCAAGACATATTAATGTCAATTAATGTCAATTAATGTCAATGTCAGTTTGGGGTTTTTATGGAATACTGACATTAATTGACGTTGCATCACCCCCCTCAAAGTACGACATTGACATTAACCATCAAATCGGCAATTTTCAAATAAGGTTGTTAAATATATGTTAAATATGTGAAAAATACAAATGGGTTGTTTGCAGTGGAACCAAGGCCTGAATATACGATTTTCTTGAAACTTTCCAGATAGTTATATGGTTATAAAACGGATAATCTGTGCAAGTTTGGGCGAATTTCTATGAGCCAAATTTGAGATATCACTTCAAACATATCCAAATGGGTGGTTTGCAGTGGCACCAGATCATATACATTAAATACAGGGTGGCCCAGAAGTAACTGCCCACACGCAACCCTAATAACTCACGTAATTCTTGTCAAAATTGCAGAATTGTAATCAAACTTAGATTTCCTGAAAGTTTCGTAAAATTTTATTGATTACAGAGGGTGTAGCACGACACGCCCTCTTTTTCGTCATAAAGATATTAAGTGCCAAATCCATATTCCCGCAAAATCGAACGAATAAGTCAAAAATAGAATTACATTAAAAATAGAATTACTCATCTTGCTTATGAGTCTACATATTCAAGATTTAAAACGCACTGGGCCACTGGCGTTGCACGATATTGTCACTTAAACTGTTACTGAATTTCGTATCTACATCGAATATCTGTATCGAGCGATTTAAAATTTCGTCGATTACAGACACATTGCAACGTCATGACGCGTCAGTGCGTTTTAAATTTTGAATATGTGGACTATAAAAGCAAGATGTTTCATAATTATCAACTATCAATATCATAATTATCAATATCATAATTATCAATTATCAATATCGTTCAATCGTTAGTAGTTTCTGTTTCTGTTTTCATAGCTGAATTAACTTAGTGCAGCTTTCGAACTTAAAGATGTAATTCTATTTTTTACTTAGTTGTTCGATTTTGGTTATCTTGAAATTCGCAACATCTTGTCCGTCTCCATGTCGAATGTCGAATGTACATCATTTTCCGGCCAAAAGAACTCCACAGTGAAACATCTTAAATTTGTTTGGTGAAAAATGCGTATTGGTTTTTTTGACGTATTTTTTAAAAATATGAATTTTACTATACTGGTAATCACCACGGGGGAGTGAGGGAGTTTCTGAATGTAAAACTGATTACGGAGGGATAAAATTGATCCAAAATATGATATTTGAATATCAAGGAAAATTGGTGATGTATTAAACATGTGCAGATTAATTTATGATGGAGCGATCAGCTATATATGAAGTCCAGGGGGTCTTTTCCGAAAAAAGTGGCACTTAAGTGATTATGTAGATTTAGGGGTCATTCACATATTACGTAATCAATATTTTAGCAATTTTTACCCCCTCCCCCCTCCGTAATCAACCATTATCAAGACCCGACCCCCACCCCCCCTCCTGACAGCAATATTACGTAATAATGGCCTGACCCCCCCCCCCCCCCCCTGACTTTTTTCCCTAGAAAACACTTTTCTCTACGTTTCATGCTACCCTGATCATGCTATAATGATGAGCCGAAATCATTTTTATGATATCCGGCCAAGCACCTTCTAAACTACTTACTATTATAGCCGGATATTCGATCAATTTCTAAATTTTATCACTATCAGAGTGAAATTGAGTGGAATTTGAATTAAAATATTGCCAAATTGTTATTATTCTAGACGGTAAAAAAGAAAATTTTGGTTACGTAATCAACTACCAAAACCCCCCTCCCGTAATCAACCGTAAGCATTTGGAAACCCCCTCCCCCTTGTCTGATTACGTAATATGTGAACGGCCCCGAACTGTAGTTACAACCCTGTAAGGATTCCGATTGCTCAGATTGGTTGGTGATAATTGAGTATTGACTGCACTGACAATGTTTCAAAGTTCAGTGGTACTACTGATAAGGTTTTAGGTTTACTAAACGAGCGCGCCGAATTCAGAGTTGATTCTCTAACTCTCTAACTCGTCGAACATGTTAGTGTTACAAAATCTTAAATAAATATTGTACAGGTATCAGTATCACCTGTTAATGATAAGGTAATTGAGCATAATTTACTGCAAAGTGAAAACTAAGATGCTTAACCTGTTAACCTTGCTGCCTGCACAGAGCAATTCTACAAGCTCATTAAAATCTCAATGATATCAGCGCGTGCAGTGATACTGATAAACTATATTTTGCACTTTGCAGTGAGGGGCCAATAAGGTTGGACCGTCGCGTAGACTGACGTCTAGGTTTTTAGAAAGGACCACATGTGAGCATACAATGATATTTAAATAGGGTCCTGTTGACTCCTATTGC